TTTTATCGTAGAAAACCAATAGTTTTTGAGTTATAGGCCGCCAAACATAGGGCTGCAGCGCGACATCCAGGAATTGCCCGAGGCTATATCTCGGAAACCGTTGTTCGAAGAAAAAAATCCTTGCCACAGCTGGCTTCCCCGCCCATGACAACCCATTAGACCAATTTTAAGCAAAAAATAAAATATGAGGGTGCAGGGCACTTGTCGATTTGTCGTGGAACGCCCCATGAGCGAAGGTTAGGTATATGGTAGGTATTTGGTACCTTTAGAGGTGGTTTATGGGTATGTGCGGCGGTGAAGGACGGCGTGGGCTGTAAGTGAAATGGCTTATCTTTATGATTTTCTGTACGTGTTCCATTATGAAGGCAAAGTGTTGCCACATGATGCTGCCATATGCTGAGTGCCGCCCGCCCGGTTTGTTAAAGGTAGTGTGCCACCTTTGAAAGATTTCCCATTTTATTTTTCCTAGGATCAGAAGCTTCTGTTTTTACCTAATATCGCAAAAAAAATCAAAAATGGGCCTGGAATAGTGCCTTTTTCGCCTAAAAGTTTATCGGTTTTTCGATATGTATAACAACTGTAGTGGGCTGAGCTGCAAACAGGCGTCGGCAACAATCGCGAATGCGGCGCACATGTGACAATAAGCAAAGGTCATTATAGAGTTACGACGTACGGGAATGAGTTATCAGCTGTCTAATCGTAGACAACACAATGTCGAGCCTTAAACTGTAAGCCTGTATTGGTATTGTTTCTTTTACTTGGCTGTCGAACATTATTTATGGTTTGAAATATGATTTTATGTAAAATAATTGATATGAAAAAGCCGTCTCTTAAGTTATGACCCCATTTCACCACACGCAAGTGGCAGAAATGACAATGATCAGCTGACGCATTTTTCTTGGCCGAAGTCAGAGCGCGCGGCCCGACGCACCACCACCGCACCACAAAGTATGAGCAGAAGCCGCGCCCAAAGCCAGGGCCCCGGTAACGTGAGGTAGCCGAGTCGGTGCAGCGTGCGCTGACCCAAGCCGGGGCCGCAGCTTTGGGCGCGGTCTACCGCATCCCCCCGGGCTATCACATGACACCGGGAGGACGCGCGGCCCCGGCTTGGGTCAGCGCACGCTGCCCCGACTCGGCTACCTCACGTTACCGGGGCCCTGGCTTTGGGCGCGGTCTACCACACCACCTATCAGGCGTGTTCGAAACCGCAGGAGATGATGATGAACGGGTTTATCGAAACTTGATTGGATGAGCATATCGGTAATAGCGATTTCAGTGTGTGCATTTATTGTTCATAGTGGTGTGAAATGTGGTTGGGGTACGACCGACAACCCGTCGGGGCGAATTTCGCACTGGGGTACTCAAAATTTGAAGAATTTAAGACGTTTCCATGAGTTTTGAAGGTATGGATAAGTTCTAAAAATCCGGTTCTCCTTATCTGGGCCATTAACTCCATACGGTCCAGGAAAGCTGGCACACTACCTTTAAAGGTAGTGTGCCACCTTTGAAAGATTTCCCATTTTATTTTTCCTAGGATAAGAAGCTTCTGTTTTTACCTAATATCGCAAAAAAAATCAAAAATGGGCCTGGAATAGTGCCTTTTTCGCCTAAAAGTTTTTCGGTTTTTAGATATGTATAACAACTGTAGTGGGCTCACCTGCAAACAGGCGTCGGGCAACAATCGCGAATGCGGCGCACTTGTGACAATAAGCAAAGGTCATTATAGTGTTACGACCATACGACGTACGGGAATGAGTTATCAGCTGTCTAATCGTAGACAACACAATGTCGAGCCTTAAACTGTAAGCCCGTATTGGTATTGTTTCTTTTATTTGGCTGTCGAACATTATTTATGGTTTGAAATATGATTTTATGTAAAATAATTGATATGAAAAAGCCGTCTTATAAGTTATGACCCCATTTCACCACACGCAAGTGGCAGAAATGACAATGATCAGCTGACGCATTTTTCTTGGCCGAAGTCAGAGCGCGCGGCCCGACGCACCACGCGTATTTGGAAATTCCGACCTCGACGAGCATCCGAAGCCACCTAACAGGCGTGTTCGAAACCGCAGGAGATGATGATGAACGGGTTTATCGAAACTTGATTGGATGAGCATATCGGTAATAGCGATTTCAGTGTGTGCATTTATTGTTCATAGTGGTGTGAAATGTGGTTGGGGTACGACCGACAACCCGTCGGGGCGAATTTCGCACTGGGGTACTCAAAATTTGAAGAATTTAAGACGTTTCCATGAGTTTTGAAGGTATGGATAAGTTCTAAAAATCCGGTTCTCCTTATCTGGGCCATTAACTCCATACGGTCCAAGAAAGCTGGCACACTACCTTTAATACAGTCGGAAGCCTGACGCTGGCGTGTGCGGGTCCGCGTGCGAGAGCCGAGCTACCGAGGGTAGCAGCGAACAGAATATGGCGCGGTCGGTGTGAAGTGTGGAACTGTGCGCTCACACCAGTGAATTTTGTGCGTTTCGATCGTTTGTGTGATGGCTCGTCGTAGCCATGAGTGATAATGGTGACGCGTCGGACGGTGACCGCGAGGATCGAAAGCCGGCAAAGTTTCAGACGCTTCTCGATCTCGTCTGCCGACAGATGGAGGCATCACAGCGCCGAGAAGACCGAGTCGTCGCCCTGCTGGAGCAGATGTCTACGGGATTGAACATCATCGGCTGGATGGCGGCAGCCCGGCGGCCGCTGCAGCCGGTCCCGGCGCTGGCCTGGGCGCGCCGCCGCGGCTTGCCCCAGCGGTGACCTTGACCGCCCCAGCTGGCGGCGCGCCGGCTGGCGGCGTGCCAGCAGCGGTCGGTGACCCGAGCGACCCCGCCCCAGGTCAGGGGCAAGAGCCGCGCGGCCCAGCTGGCGGGGAGGCCGCGGCCGGGAGCTCGGGTGACCGTGGGCAAGGAGCAGAGGCGAGACCGCGGTCACGGTTGCCAGAGGCGGCGACGCCGGCACCGCGGCTCGTTTCGTCAGCTTCTCTGAAGGAGTTCGACTCGTGGCGCAGCAAATTTGATGGCTACCGTCTACTAGTGGGCCTAGATGAACACCCGGCAGCGGAACAGCGAGCTGCTCTGTTAGCTCTCATGGACGACGATTGGGCTCGAGTCATCAGGTTCGCCCTGCCGCTGTCGTCAAACGCCACTGTAGACGACATCATCACGAAGATGCAGGAGCATCTGCGACGGCAACGTAACGTTATAATCGATCGTCGGGATTTTAACACAAGAACACAGCAGCCCGGCGAGATGTTTGACGAATTCTTATGTGCTCTGAAGGAGACAGCATCCTTCTGTGATTTCTGCGCTTCCTGCATGGACGATAGGCTGCGAGATCGACTGGTGGTCGGGGTTCGGGATGATAGCGCCTGTCGCCGGATGCTCGAGTCACCCGAGCTGACGTTACAATCAGCAGCTGACATCTGCCGAGCGTGTGAGAACGCTAACGCTAGCACGTCAGCTATCCAGGGAGCAGTGACGTCATCACTAGCCAGGATGTCCCGCTATCAGCAGAACAAGCGGTCTCAGCGGTCAGACGACCAGCGGAGCGGACAGGACCGGACGAACCGGAGTAGACCAGCGGCAAGCGGGAAGTGCACTCGCTGCGGCATGGCAGCCCATCGGGACGGGCAGACGTGCCCGGCGGTCGGTCGCACGTGCCACCGGTGCCACGGGCGAGACCACTTCTCAGCTGTCTGTCGCGCCCAGCCTGATGAATTCCAGAGGCGGAAGAGGAGCGCCAGCCGAAACCGTCGGGAACGCCCAGAGAGCCATCAGCGACGTCGTCATGTTCAGTCGCTCGTTCAAGTCGAGCAGGATTCGACGCCGGCGCCATCGCGGGAGGCCAGGCATGTCACCGACATCCGAGTCAGGGGCATAGCAGCTCAGTGTTCTCCTCGGGTCCAGCTGCAGCTCCATCGGCAGGATGGAGGTGGTACCATACCCACGTACTGGACGCCTGACACTGGAGCTGAGACGTCTGCTGTATCACTCCGATACGCCGACAAGATGGGCGTCAGAAGAAGCGACCTGAAACCGGTGAAAAGCAAGCTTCTCAGCGCGGACAACAGCGAGATGCAATGCCTGGGAACATGCAGCATCACCCTTCAGCTGGGTTGCATTAGTCACACTGTCGAAGCTGCGGTCATCAAGATGCTGAACGGTCCGTTACTGTCGTGGCATGACAGCATCCGTCTGGGAATTCTCCCAAAGAATTACCCGCAACAGATTCAGTCTGTGAAGACAGGAGGTCAGCAAGATGATGAAGATGATGATGTAGCAGATGGTGAACATGAAGACAGACGAACGGAAGTTCATCCGCCGACAAGAGGTGCATCGGCTTCGGCCCCTGCTTCGTCGGGGCTGAGCGTCGAGAAACCAGTCCAAGAACACCCGGTGAAGAGAATGACTCCTCCGAGATGGATCCCGAAGACGGCCGGAGCAGCGTCGCGCGGGATTCCAACGCTGAGCGAGAGGCAAGCTCACTTCAGCGAGATGAAGTCCGCCTTCCCTCGTGTGTTCGACACGTCAGCTCCTCTGCGAGAGATGTCCGGCGGGCTCATGGAAATAGAGCTAACCGAGGATGCTGTGCCGTTCGCTGTGCGCACTCCCCGCGCTATACCATTCGCCTGGCGCGAAGAAGTACCAGCTCAGCTGGACGAGCTGGTCCAGGAAGGAGTAATCGAGCCTGTCAACCATCCAACTCTCTGGTGCCACCCACTTGTGCCGGTGCCGAAGGTCTCGGAAGACGGTTCAGTGGCGGGCTGCAGGTTGACAGTCGACTTTACGAAACTCAACAAGTTCGTAAAGCGGCCGGTTCATCCAGTGAGAACCACACATCACGCGGTGGCGTCGATCGATACAGAAGCTCGTTTCTTCACGAAACTGGACGCGAAAGCTGGATATCACTAAGTTCCCATTCGGCAGGAGGATCAGGACCTCACCACGCTCATAACGCCATGGGGGCGTTTTCGGTACCGACGAGCGGCCATGGGGCTGGTGTCCAGCAGCGACATCTACAACCAGAGAGGAGACCAGGTGCTGGGGGACGTGCCGCGCACATGCAAAGTCGTGGACGACGTCCTAGCCTGGGACGCCAGTTATGAAGAGCATCTCAAGCATGTGTGGGATATCCTGAAGCGGTGCGATGAGAACGGGATAACGCTGAACACGAGCAAGTGCACCTTCGCAGCGGAGTCGGTGAACTTCTGCGGCTTCAGTATCTCCGCTGAGGGGTACAGACCAGACAGGAAGAAGACGGCAGCCGTCTCTGACTTCCCACGGCCGGAGAACGTCACAGACCTAAGGTCCTTTCTAGGTCTGGTGCATCAGATGGGCTCCTTTTCACCAGAGGTAGCCAAAGCTGCTGAACCGCTGCGCCAGCTTCTGAGTCCCAAGAACACATGGCTGTGGACAGAAGTGCACATGAAGGCATTCCACGACGTGAAGGAAGCACTGGTCAGGCCACCAGTCCTGAGCTTCTTCAACCCGAAGAGGAGGACGGTCCTGGAGACAGATGCGGCGCGGCTGAAGGGATTGGGATTCAGTCTGCGGCAGCAAGACGAGGATGGAAGGTGGCATCTGATTCAGTGCGGATCCAGGTTTTTGACAGACACTGAAACCCGATACGCTGTCATCGAGGTCGAGATGCTGGCCATCCTGTGGGCTGCCAGGAAGTGCAACACCTACTTGCAAGGCATGCAACAGTTCGAGGTTGCCACAGATCACAGGCCCCTCATACCGATTATCAACACGAAGAGTCTGCAGGACATCGCCAACCCACGTCTTCAGCGACTTCGAGGAAGTCTTGCGCCCTACAACTTCGTGGCAGTCTGGCGCCAGGGGAAGCTTCACGCTATACCAGACGCTCTGTCAAGGTACCCTGTGGAGGCGCCTTCTGAGGACGACAAGAAGGAGGAACGTGAGCTGACTTCACACAGCTCTGAGGTCATCCGCGCGATAACCAGTGTTGAAGTGGACGGGACGGACGCCTCACCGTTCGAAGATGCGACGCTGACAGCGGTGCGGTCAGCTACGGAGAAGGATCCGGAGTTGCTGGAGCTGAGGGCAGCTGTGCTGGACGTTTTCCCTGAGCACAAGTCGCAGTTGCAGCCACTTCTTCATCCCTACTGGAACATGCGCGATCGGCTAGCAGTGGACAACAATATCGTCATTTGTGGGCAGCGAGTTGTCGTACCCAGCAGCCTCCGCCGTAACGTTCTAGAGAGACTGCATGCTAGTCATCAAGGAGAAGACAGGACCAAAAGACGAGCCAGACAAGTGGTGTACTGGCCAGGTATCGACAACGACATCTCGAACATGGTGAAGAGCTGCAAGGAGTGCCAGCTACATCTGCCCAGACAGCAGAAAGAACCGATTATACAGCTACCTCAACCGACTAGAGTCTTTGAAGTCGTGTCAGCCGATTTCTTCGAGTACGCAGCACACACATACCTGGTGTATGTAGACAGACTCTCCGGGTGGCCGTGGGTGTGCCACATGGGAAGATCGGCGTCAGCCCATCAACTGACTACCAGTCTGCGGAAGGCCTTCGCGTCTACCGGAGCTCCGTGCCTGTTACTCACTGACGGTGGACCTCAGTTCACGGCGAAGAAGACCCGGGAATTCCTGGACAAGTGGGGTGTTCGTCAGCAGTTCTCGTCACCTCACTATCCACAGGCCAACGGACATGCGGAGGCGGCAGTAAAAGCTGTCAAACGGCTGGTCAAGAAGGTGACTGTCGGAGGCGATCTCGACACAGACGCCTTCGCCGAGGGACTACTGGAGCTGCGGAACGCTCCAAGAGCAGACGGGAGATCGCCGGCTCAGATTCTCCTCGGTCACCCGCTGAGATCGAGGATTCCGGCTCATCAGCGTTCGTTCGCCAAGTGCTGGCTGGAACGTGCCGATGAGGTCGACAGACAAGTCACAGAACAGAGACGCAAGGAGGCGGAGCGCTACAACTCATCTGCGCGCTCGCATCGCCCTCTACAGCTGGGACAGCATGTGCTGATGCAAGATCACCGCACGGGCCTGTGGGACTGCACAGGCATCATCAGTGGCATCAGCAAGGAGCGACGCAGTTTCCTGGTGCGCACGCCATCCGGGCGCATATACTGGCGCAACAGACGTTTCCTGCGCCCGCTGCGCCCGCTCGTCACCGCCAACGGCGGGCCGGCGCGCGCGGCGCTGGAGGTTCCAGCACAGGATCCCACCGCGGCTCTGGCAGGAGCGGCCGCTGGGACGCCAACGGCCGCGACAGAAGCAGAGCAGTCAACGTCATCGGCTATGACGTCACGACAGCCGCCAAGAACGCCGGCTGCTGATACTCGCCGAGCGCCGGAGGGGGGTGACGGTGACGGAGACCGCGCGGTGACGGTGACGGAGACCGCGCGTCGGTCGCCGAGAGCTGATCCGCCGATTCGTCGCAGTGGTCGTAACCGTCGCGAGCCGGTCAGGTTACAGGTACGGTGGGGACCGTGCACAAGCTATGAGTGATTTAGTTTGGAGTGTATTAGATACGCGCGAAGATGCTCGTAGATATTTAGTTTGCGGGTATGAGACGCGCGTGTCAGTCAGATATATCCCAGGAGAAGGTGTTTATTTATTGTATCATGGCTTGTTGCAAACGGGTTTGTTAGCCCGTGGGGAGGTGTTCCATTATGAAGGCAAAGTGTTGCCACATGATGCTGCCATATGCTGAGTGCCGCCCGCCTGGTTTGTTAATACAGTCGGAAGCCTGACGCTGGCGTGTGCGGGTCCGCGTGCGAGAGCCGAGCTACCGAGGGTAGCAGCGAACAGAATAGTACGTTCCTGGTGTAATACCTATTTTGTTTATTTTCTCTCTAGTACCCTTTCGGATGGTGCCCTCGGTTTAACCCGGCGGCCGCTGGGCCTCCGCGCCACCCGCCGGCCGCTGGGGGGGGGCATATAGTTGCCCCCCTTTACTTCTGCGACGATATCGTCGCAACGCGAAGAGATAGAGAAGCGAAACTTTGCACACATCTTCCTGAATACCTAGCCGAGGTTGTGTCCAAATTTGGTGTTGATCCCATTTGAAATGACGTCACAGTGACGTCATAAGTGAAATTATAGATTTGCGACTCTAATATTCCTCACGATACATCAGATATATGGGACCGAATATAAAGGGTCGATTATTGGTCAGAAACTAGATGGAAGTGTAGTTAAATGTTTTGGGATGACAGCAGGTGCTGTCTAGTTCATTTACAGTTGAGTTTCATGCTCAGCGTCATCAGAAACGGTCCATATCGGAAAACGGCAAAACTTTATGACGTCACTGTGACGTCATCTTAGGTACGACAACCACCAAACTTTCCTCAAACATTGCCTAGGTATTCATTTGAAGCTATGCCAAGTTTCACGTTCGTAGCTCATCAGGTTTCGGAGATATTTCACAAAACGTAAAGCGGGAGCAACTTTATGCCCCCCCAGCGGCTCGTGGGTTAACCATCGCCGGCACAGGGGGGGGGGGGGGTTGATGCAACCCCCTTAAGGTTTTTCGCGCATAACTCGCGTAAAAAGCGGCCGATCGCCACGAAACTTTCAGTACCCTCGCATTGATCAATTTTACACCTACCCTGAAAACTTTATGACCCTGACCCTAATGACCTTTGACCTGTGACCTCTTTTCCGAGACTATGTTTGGCCGGAATCGCGATTCGGCGTATGTCGGCTCGCATTAGCCGCGCGTTTGCAAGCTTGTCGTGGTTTCAAACGTTCAAACATGTGATTTGATGTTGCTCCCATACATTCGGGTGGGTGTCAAGGTCACCTGAAGGTCAAGTCAGGTCATTGACCTTTGGTGACCTCGGGTAACCTCGGTTCACTTTTTCGAGTTTTACATGTTTCTAGGCTAGTTTTTTTAGCTGAATTCGAATTTAGCAACCATTTGAACATTTACGAAGTAGTTTTGGTGCCTTCGTAACATGTTACGAAGCTGTCCGAGGCGGTTGACACGTATTACGAATACCCGTCACAACCCCTACCGGTTGACCTGACCTGACCCGACCTGATCTAAATGCTTAAAGACATCATCCGTGAAAAAAAAAAAACTAACACGATATTCGTGATCAGCACCCCGGAAAACCACATAGCAACCACACTTAACGACTTTCTAAAAGGTTCCGATTTTCACGGTTTTCGGGTCATTGACCTGACCTGGAAGGTCACCCGATGACCTAGGCTAGGACCTTAACCTTCGCCCCAGTGGGGGGGGGGCATATGTTACCACCCTGTCGCGTTTTTTCGTATAAATAAAAAGCCGCGGCGCGTAGCGCCGCGCCGCTTGGGGTAGCTTTTGGTACATCAATTTTGGACAAAGTGTGAAATTTTTGACCCCGGGTCATGTCAGGTCAGGTCACCAGGTTAACTTAACTGACCAAGCCTAAAAAAGTTTGCAATCATGTCCAGCCTGCAGTGTTTGTCAGAGAGGTTTGAAACTTGGTGGATTACATGATGTTATGGGTGCCTACAATTTGTATATCTCTGATTTTTTATATGCGTGACCTAAGGTCAGGTCAGTGGCGTGACCTTTCCATTATAAGTTAATGGAGAAAAACGAAAATACCTCTAGATCCGTGTGTACGCATAAGAACAGTCCAGGACCACCCGTGACGACCAAGGTGTCTTTTTTGCTGATAGCCTCTTGAAAGGTCATCCGAGGTCATTTGAGGCTACACACAGTTTTTGCCAATAGCTCTCGATTGGAAAAAGATAGAACGCTGGGGTTGGCCTCATTGTGTTTGTCTTGCCGAGACGCATCGACTGATATGCAACATGACCTTTTCCGGTCAGGTCATGACCTTGACCTGAGGTCAAATTTTTGAAGTTGACCTTTCAAGGTGAAATTATAGTACATTCGACGCGTCTCGGCGAGAGGAACACGATTCTGGCATTAGAAATGACCTAGCTCTTTTTACCCAAAAGTTATTGTCGAAAAACGCTTTTCTTTAAAACAGCTATTTTTGGAGTTTTTGCCCTCTGGAGGCTAAACCGTTGAACTGAGGTCATTTTTGATGATGACCTTATCAAAAGAAGAGCTCAAAAGCTATCGATTGCTTTTCCAAGCATTTTTCCAGCTATCATAGTTCCTGAGATAATGGCATGTTTTGTAAAAAGTATAATGACAATTCGCAAATTTTGACCTTTGATGGCCTCTGGTGACCCTAATATTGCTCTAAGATGAAAAATGACCGAACTACTTTCAAACGTACGCATCAAGTGCTATCGACTGCTTTTACCGCGTCTTTCTAGCCCTCTTAGTTTTTGAGTTAGAGGTGGGTGGTAACATATGCCCCCCCCCCCACTAGGGCGACTATCGACTTCCCCTCGTGACGTAGGGTAGGGTAGGGTAGGGGATTGTAGGGTAGGGTAGGGTAGGGTAGGGTAGGGGATTGTAGGGTAGGGTAGGGTAGGGTAGGGTAGGGTAGGGTAGGGTAGGGTAGGGTAGGGTAGGGGATTGTAGGGTAGGGGTAGGGTAGGGTAGGGTAGGGTAGGGTAGTGTAAGGGTAGGGTAGGGTAGGGTAGGGTAGGGTAGGGTAGTGTAAGGGTAGGGTAGGGTAGGGTAGGGTAGGGTAGGGTAGGGTAGGGTAGTGTAAAGGTAGGGTAGGGTAGGGAAGGGTAGGGTAGGGTAGGGTAGGGTAGGGTACGGTAGGGTAGGTAGGGTAGGGTAGGGTAGGGTAGGGTAGGGTAGGGTAGGGTAGGGTAGGGTAGGGTAGGGTAGGGTAGTGTAGGGGTAGGGTAGGGTAGGGGTAGGGTAGGGTAGGGTAGGGTAGGGTACTACCATACAAAACACTTGAACACCCCGCACCTATCACCAACCGCTACAGTTTAATTAAAAACAGCTACCCAAATCTATCCAAATAATACATCTTAAAATACAAGTCAATCACCCAAACTAATGCACCCGTAACATAATATAAATCAAAACATACAGTTATCGCGTAAACCTGTACCTCTAGTGGGGGGTCGACCATCGACCACCCAACCATCGACTTCCAACCATCGACAACCATCGACTTCCAACCATCGACAGCCCCTCGTGACGGGCAACACGCTCGTTTTTTTCCGCGAAGCTCTAGCTCCATCAGGGGCCAAACGCGAGGGGGGGTCGTACCACCCCCCTTGTGCCGTCGAAGGACGCAAAATGACCTGTGCCGGCGAGGGTTAAACCGTTCCTTTGTGTGTTTCGCACGGGCTTATTTCCTTGGTTTAACCCTCGCCGGGGGGGGGGGGTTAAATCTGGGGTTAAATCATAAAAAGTAAATCGAAATCTGGCAATTTGCGTAAATTTTGACGACTGACGAAGACAATGAGCTGTGTTTTACTGGCGTTGACCTTCAGGGCGTTAGCGCAGAACCATTCGTTGAGTGACGCGAGTGAAACCTCCATGCGCGAGATGAGAACTCCAAGGTCCCTGGCAGGACCGCTTGTGGCAGGCAAGGGTCGATAAAAGTAATTGTTGATGATGAGAAATTATATTGTAAGAGTTATGATCAACGTAAGTTCTCGGACATACTATTATAGACAGGCAACTCAAAAACATTCACAACAAAAACAACCTCAATTTTCAAGGCAAATAAAATTCGTGACATAAAAAGTAATGCGCGTGGTTGCCAAGGTTACAGGCGGGAAAATAAAAGTGAATCATACAAAGCGCAATTAATCAATAATAATTAAACAAGATAGAATAATATATCGATAATTCGCGAAACTTAAACAATAATTATGTTTCTGTAAAATATAAATAAAAATATACATAAGATGCGCCACAATACTCCCCGCCCCAGAGCGGAGCGATATGAAATATATACAGACATGAGGCATACAAAAACCAGTAAACACTGTTCGTCACATAGAAACGTTCGTACGGTGGCCAAAGTTCATCCCGGCGCGGCGGCAAGTTCATCGCTGTTCAGTGTTCATCACCAAGGAGGGTATTTCGACATCGATAAGGCTTTCACCGTAAATTCGAAGGGGTTGTCCTGTGGCAGTCGATACATGTACGGCTGAAGGAGAAAGATGCTTACGAGTTACCAAGTCGCGTGGTAAAAGTGAAATGCCGGCGCCAGTGTCAACAAGAAATGACAACTTAGTTGACCCGACATTGGCTGCGACCTTGAGTAGTGGCAGACCCTGCGCAGCATTTACAGCCTGCCGTTGTAGTTTCCCGGTTCTGATTGTTCGGCCGCTGGGGTAGAGTCCCTATATCTAACTGGCGTCCTGCCCCTCACACTTTTACCAGGCCACGTACACCAGGGGCGGCACGTGCGGGCATGGGGACCGTAAAAGATGTGAGCCCGGCACACTTTAGGTGGCTGTCCGTCATGGTATGGCTCGAGGTCCCTTCCCTGGCCGCGTCGATCAGCTGATCGGGGTCGTTGACCCCTAGCAGCCGGTGAGATGCCTCTTTGAGGGGAACGTGAACTGCCGTGAGATTCTAC